CACGTAAATTACAACCCCAAAAAATGAAGTACGAAAAATAAAGGATTAAAAGCTGTACAAATGAAACACACGAAAGTCAGATGACGATTAACGGAGATATTAAGCGTTTTTTATTTTCGCATTTTTAAGTTAGAGATTAGTTTTAAGAAAATTTCAGGATTAATTAAAAATCAATTTTTATTAGAAAAAGTTTTAATTAGAAAAAATATTTTAATAGAAAAAGTTTAATTAATTAAAATATTTTAGTAGAAAAAGTTTAATTACTTAATAAAATGGTTTATTTTAAAAGGGAGGATTTAATAAAAGAGAATGAGTTTAATCTTAAGTTATTAAAAAATAGCTTTAAGTTATGATTTTTCCAAAAGAGTTTTGACTTACACAATATATTTACAACTCATTTACACCATTATTAAATTAACTAAAAAAAGATAAAGATAAAATAAAAAGAAAGAGAAAAAGGAAAATCGAAAGAGAAATAAAAGGGTTTGGGGGACGTGTTTTTCTGCTGAACATTTCATTAGGGTTTTAACCCCTTTTTCCTCTTCTTGGCCGCCACCCCCCTCTATATCTTCTCTCAAAATTTCTCTCCTCTCTCACTCGCCTCTCATCCCTAATTCCTTCTTCTTCTACGGCTTGCTTCTTCTCCTTCCTCACAAATTTCTTCTTCTTATTATTTTCCTGAAAAAAAAACACAGAATGAAAAGAAAATGAGTTAATACCGTGGCTTACGGTTCTTATTCCGGCGATGATGAAGAAGTTCGGAGCCATTTGCTGTTCATGACGGATTTGGGTTACGGTTTCCCGGTGGTTTGATCCATCGTTTGTATTTGGCCGATGATGACGTTTTCCTGAGGCTAAAAGGGTTTAACAAATTTCGGAGTTGTGGTTTTGATGACGAACTTTGTTCGTCCTCTGAGGCGGCCGTTTTTGCTTCTGAGTTCTGGGTCTTTTTTGATGAAAAACGATCCCCCTCTTTTATTCTTCTGTGATGATTTTATATTATTCTTTGATGTCATTTTCTGGGCCTGGATCTTGCTTTCCGTTTTTATGGCTTTGATTCTGTTTTGAAACAGAATTTATGGATTTTGTGGAGGTATTTTCGCTGTGAATTTGTCACCGTGGATTTGTAGAGACTTGTTTCATGGAGAATTAATCTAATACATTGACTAATCAAACCATTAAAACCTCGATTCCTGACTGTATTGAACCCTAATTCATCTCACATCTTGACAAAGACAAACTTGAAATAGGTTATAGTTAGATAATTAAATGATGATGATCCTAGAATGATGATGAAGATCTAGGGGTCAAAATTTGGGGTGCAACAGGTACCGCCTCACCCTCAATATCCTCAACTCGTTCAGTTGTGAGAAAAAATTGGGAAAGGACGTCTCTTGGTTAGAGGTATGTCAAGGTCAGTAGCTAGACCACGTCCCCTTAGGAAATAGGGATTCAACGGTCCACCATTTACTAGGCTTGCATTTATCTTTCTCAAGAAACCACATGCCTAAAGGCCTCTATAAATACTTCTTACTCATCGAGAGACGGACACAGATCCTAGCATATACACATTGCCTGTCACCTCACAAGTGCATGTCCTTGAAACCATCGTAAACACCACTGAATACAGTTTATCGCCGCTGTGGGTAAGCCATTACCACCACAAAATTTATAAACCTACTAAATCCTTTGAGTACCATTGCCCTTGCAGGGGTGACATGCACACATATACTCTTGTTAGTATAAAACCCTAACTCTTTGAGTTTATAGGAAATAAGATATTGAATAAACTATTTTGTGCATCTTTTTCCGCTTGAAATATTTTCTTGTATTTATGATTATGGTCAAGTTACATCTCTATGAGCTGACATCAAGGTTAGATTGCATCTTCACAAGTTGCCATCATCAAAACTGTTATAGGTCTAGGAATTGCCTAGATTTTATCTTTGATTACTTGTTGATTAAACCTGCAACCACATAGTTCCACACTTTAAAGTCCAAAAATAAAAAAGGCCAAAGCCAAGGCTCTGCAACATAAAGTATGTGAAGATAAAGATCCCAAAAAAGTAACAGAACATGATGAACTTTCCATCGTCTCCACACAAGTGCAACATCTACATGCAATAAGGAAGAAACAATTCCCCAATAATGAGTTGAAGTATTCCAAAGATCATAGGTACAAAATATAAGTTTATAAAAGGTTATTTGTTATGAATACAAAGAACCTAGACACTTTAAAAATAAATTTCACAAGCTAGAGAAAGAGATATCTAAGATGAATGGATCTTGATAAACAAAGAAAATACTCATGCGCACATGGGATCAATATGATAAATCTTCCTTAAAAAAGATGAGTGTGAAATTATTCTCTAATAGCCTTAACATCCTCTAGTGTATAACTCGATGACACAACAATTTAGAAATTATTCTCTAATAGCCTCTATAATTAAGATTGCTTCATTAAGATATGATGTAAGCAGAAGTTATAAGAAAAGACTAGGATACATTGATAAGCCTTTTATTAAAGCTCATTATCCAAATGTTAGACAATCTTACTCTTTGAAAGGAAGTTATAACAAAATAATTTGTCCCATTTTGAAAAAATGGAAACATAAGAAGTCTTTAATAACTAATAAAAGAAGACCCAAGAAGATTTGTGTACATATAAAACAAAATTGTCTATATTGCAAATTTGTTAAAAAAAACTAGTTAAAAAACTATTCTTAGTACCTTGATGGTGGATCCTAATGTTAAGTATTAACAAGTGTGAGTAGTGTGGATAATAGTCCCACATTGTTTAGGAATATGGTGACTTGAGCATTTATAAGTGAGACAACCCATACACCTATCACCTTAAGGTTTTGGGTGAGTATGTGGTGTGCCTCTCACAAAGGTGTTGCTCTAGAAAGAAAAAAGTCTCACAATATTCAATGCTCCCTAGTGAAAATCTCCCCCCAACTGTGGTATCAAAGCTTAGTTCGAGTGAGGGACCAACTTACTTGTATCGAAAGTATCCCTAGAGGTCGTGGATTGAGTGTCTCGTTGAAGAGTGTCAACAGCGGTACAAGGGTGCAGTTCCGCAGTTGAAGCTTTCGCTTAAAGGGGAAAGTGTTAAGTATTAAAAAGTGTGAGTAGTGTGGATAATAGTTCCATATTGGATAGGAATGTGGTGACTTGAGCATTTATAAGTGAGAGAACCCATACACCTATCACCTTAAGGTTTTGGGTGAGTATGTGGTCTGTCTCTCATAAAGGTGTTGCTCTAGAAAGAAAAAAGTCTCACAATGTTCAATGCTCCCTAGTGAAAATTTTTCCCCAACACCTAATTATATATGATAGAAGAAAGATGTATGTTCCAAATGAAGGATAGATGTAATGTTGTATTTGGAAGAAACTAGAACAATAGGATTATATGATCCAAAATAATAGATAATGACTTTCTTTCCTCTAGTGTTTGATATATGATTTTTAGTGGTTGGGAGTTCATGTTCCTCTTTCTAGGGATCCTAATATTCTTTTTGAAAACTTATAAGCCTTAGAAGGTAGAGCAAAGGTTAGAGGAGGTATTTCCATGGTTTAACTTGCATTGATGTGAATCATTTGGTATGTCCGTAACAATAAGATTGTGTCAGCCTCTCTAACAAACGTGAAAGAGGTGGAGGATAAGAATATTTGTTGGCTTGTAAGTGATTTTTTTGCAGGTCAACAACGAACTCAACATTACTTTCTGATTGGCTATAGAACCCTATCATGTGTCTAAACCAATAACAGTTCAAGATATCGGTCCTTCTCTAGAGGGGTGTAATTGTTTCGATTTTCATTTATGTTCTTTTGTTTAATTAATGGTGTTCTGAACTCTAGCTTGGTTCTCCAATGAATCGAGCTTTAGAGTGTAGGTTTGCGTTTCAAAGTTTACTCTCTTTTGATTTTGGTTGCTCTTCTTTGTGGATGTTTCTCAACCGTTTTGCTATTTTTTTTCTTTTATTTTTAGTTTTGTTTTCTATACTTTCGGACACCTCTTGTGCCATTTTTCTTTGTACTTTGTTGTTATTAGGTTTTTTCCATTTTTTCATATATATATATATATATATATATATATATATATATATATATATATATATATATATATATATATATATATATATATATATATATATATATATATATATATATATATATATATATATATATATATATATATATATATATATATATCCATTCAAATTTTTATTTTTATTTGCATATAAATAAGGTCAACAAACAACGCAACATTTCAAGTTAAAAATATTTAGAGCATACAGTTGATAAGACAAGTGCTCGCATGTCACTATATATATCTTTATTTTGGGTTTGTTTGTTTTAATTTTTAAAAAAATAGATTTGGCAAAATTTTTTTTTAAAATATTACAAATTTTTCTATATTAACTTTTTTAAAATTGTAAGACTAATTTTAACATTATACAACATAAATATATATTATTGAAGATCAAAACATAGTCGAAATCTTAAATTTTTAAAAAAGTTGTATCTCAAAAATAATTTTTATTAAAAGCTATTTGAAATAGATTCAAAATTAAGTGATTTTTTTTGAAATTTTAATATTCAAAATTTTTTCGATAAAATATTAATATATTTAAAATTATATTTTAAGAATAATTATTCAAATTAAATATTCATTTGAAACTTTTATAAAAAAAAAAATTGTAATTTTTTTTTTATAAATTTTTGTAACATTATAAAAATCATTTAAAAAAAACCAAAAAACGGGATTTTTATCATGTAAATATATTATAAAGAATCAATTCCCCACAAGGTGTACAAGAATTGACGTTAAAAATACAATTACACAAAGAAGAAAAGGCTGAACCCACCAAACCTAAAAGAAAAACACACATAACAACAAGAAAAGCCACAAAATTGCATATGAAAATATACAAAATTGCTACTCATCCATTTATTTTTCACACTGTTCAATGGTATTGAACATCTTTAAATTTTAATTACTTGTCATCATCATGTTTCCTGAAGCTCAATGGTATTTCAAAAGGACTATTCTCAAATGGTCTCTCACCAATAAAGTTGCCTGGTGGATCATAGTTACAGCTAACAATGGTGCTACGACCATCACTGCACTTCACCCTAGCACAACCAAGACGAACCGAATCGCGCCAAACGACTTGAGTATAATGCAAGCACTCACCATTGAAACAAGAGTTAGAGTCGTAGTCGTAGTTTTGTATCTCGTCGATCCACATATCGACCGCGGCTGTTGCAGTAAGGTCAGGACTTCCCCAAGCTAGATTCTCTCCGTATTGGCCTCCAGAGTGCACTAACTGGCAACTTCCTTTAAGCTTGTTCACATAGTTCTTTGCAAAAGAGGCAACGTTTGCATCCCATGTTATAGGGCCAACGCCTACTTCAGAACGTGCTCGGTTGTGAGCGTTGAGGTAGTCTTGTGGTGAGTTTTGAGCATGTGTGGTGTGTGTTAGTGTGGCTAACACAATCATGAGAGGGGCAAATATTGAAATCATTGGTACAATTGTGGAGAAGTGTTATTTGAACTATTAATGGTTGGGGTTTATGGACAAAATTATTAGTCTATTTATAAGAGATTTTTGGTTAAGTTAATTTAGTAACTTAAGTTGGATTTTTCTAATGTGTCAAATCTTGCACACGATAAGGATCATGAATGATCTTTTTTTCTAAATTAATTACCTATTACCTATTCATCTATTCTACAATGAGATCACTTTGTTTTTCTATTTAGTGTTCAACATTTATTTTATTTCTCTTTCTATCAAATTACTTTTTGCTATTTATTTGTGTTGATATATACATGTTAGTTACAAGTCTCCTTAGATAGGAAATAGATAGATGTTAAATACTTTTATAAATACGAGAATTTAAAATTTTAAAATTTTAAAATTTTGGGTTAAGATATAATATTTAATTTATTTTGTATGATTTTTCGAAATTCAATATAATGTGATTTTGTATCAATAATCTTTCTAACAAAGATGTTTATGGGACGTGTTTTGTTGAGGGTCCGTAAGATTTAATGAGTCACACATTTAATAGAAAATGAGATGTTGAACACTTTATAAATGAAGTAATATATTGAATTAATGGCTTAAACTTTTGGATCAAGATGTGGTATATATTTGTCTTTTTTTTTTTATATAATTAAGGAGATTGATTATTTCACCTTCAGTGGTACTCACGCACACTAGTACAAAACTAAAAAGGTCCATAAAATATAGAGATATATTTTCCGACGCATCAAAATTTTACACCACACCCATTTGTAAGTGAATCACTCTAATTTAAAAAAAAAATAGTATATAAATGCATCTCTGTAAAATTTACGGAAATATATCTCCAAACGCATTTTGAGTAATATTATCACGTTGAACCTTCCCCCTTCCTCATTTTTAGCAAACCTCATTCTATAAAAAGAGCTATGCGTGAGAAACTCAAAATTCACCATTTTTTCTCAAACTTTCTACTTTATTGTGTCTAATCCAAGAGCTTAATCAATTGCAACTCGGTTCCATTCAATTTAAAAGCTTCCACTTCTCACATTTGACAAGTCTTTTAATTTTCCTCCTTTTTTTAAAATAATTTTTTATGCATATATTACTAAATAGGTTGTTTAAGCTACATTAAGTTTTTGTTACACTCATAATACGTAGTTTATTGAGGCATGCATTGACATTTAAAGCATAAGATATGAGGCATTTCTATATTTTTCGCGTTTTAGAATTTGATTTTTCTGAGTTACGAAAGTACATTTTGTATTATGTTTATATTGTTTGATGTTGCATGTCTATCATTTGAGTTTTATTTTGTCTGCTTTGTTGCTTTGTTTGATTTAATTATATGAAAAATGATTGACAACCAAGATCGGTTGAGACATGCATAGAGTGTTCCATCATGCATCTATTCGAATGGAGAGAGCTAGTCTCTCGCAACTACCAATTGGTTCCAATTCAGTTGATACATAAGCATCCACTTCTAGAGTTCAGTTGTTTCAGCTTCATCTTCTTGGAGGCAAGTGTCACCTAATGCTGCCCCAGAAGCCCCACCTGTCCATGTTGATGTGTCTGTTGTCGATGCTTCTATTCATAATGTCGTTCATGAGGTTTTTTGAGAAGGATTGTATGACACATCACTGCTACCTCTGTAAGCAAACCAAGATGCTAGGAACACGTGAGATAGAAAGGTAAAATAAATTTGTATTTATTCTTTGAAACATGTTATAATATTTAAACCGTGTGACGATGATATACTTTTTGTCATATGGTGATCCTTTAAAATGGACCAAAAATGGTAGGAAGATTGTAAAGCTTGAGCATCCTGAGGAGAAACAGTTTCATGATGTCATGTAATTATCTGGGTCGCAACATTTATACATAAATAGTTATACTATTATTAACCATGGTATGCTGTTCGCTTTTAGGAAGAGATGACACTCAGAGACGTCATATTTTCATCTTCTAATTTGTAATACGTCCAACACACTAGATGAAGTGTCATCCCTGCTACATTTTATGAACGTGGAAAGATTATTAGACCAATCCATAAATACCAAACCTGATGCACTAGACATGATGGTGACCTATTTAAAAGCTAACTTAGGTGATGCCCAAAAAGAGATGAATGACATTAAAGGGTGTCATGCTAGATTTACTTTTCTATAAAATTTGTATATAAACCATGCGATTACGGTAGGGAAGATCGACGGTGATAATATACAAAATTTATATCATAATGCATGAGCATTAAAGTCATAACTCATATTTTTGGTTGGCACAATTTTAAATAGTATTACAAAGTATTTTGAAAATAGTACACTATTAAGATTAATAATCTTCCAAATGACAAAACCAAATCTTTTTCTTAAAATATTTTATTTGGAAAACAACACAAGAGTTAAGATTATAGGGGACTCTTCTAATTGACGTTACACTTGCATATATACTACGTATATAACTATAAAACCTTAGCAGCCTCTACTATGTCCTACTATCAGCCGCCACATTAATTAAATGTGATATAGCTACTTGTTAATGTTTATTTTGTTAAATTTTTTTTTAATTTTACGTTTAAACTATGTATTATTTTAACTTAATAATAGAAATATATGATTCTTTTAAAATAACCATTATAATAAAAAGAAAATGAAGTATTTACTAAGAATAATGCATTTATGAAAATCATAGAAATATTTTTTTTCATTTTATTTTTTCTGAAATATTTAAACAATTGTTTGTGATCCAAAGTGACCCAGAATAATATCTCCTGTTAAATAGTTTTTAACAAATGGATCATCATGGGTTATGCCAAATAAAACAAGTGGATCATGTTGTTAATTCATTTTCAAGAAAAGAATGTCCATTTGTAGTGTTTAACAATGAATAAGTCATCAATTAATGGGGATTAGGGGTCCTGACACATAATAATAATAATAATAATAATAATAATAATAATAATAATAATAATAATAATAATAATAATAATAATAATAATAATAATAATAATAATAATAATAATAATAATAATAATAATAATAATAATAATAATAATAATAATAATAATAATAATAATAATAATAATAATAATAATAATAATAATAATAATAATAATAATAATAATAATAATAATAATAATAATAATAATAATAATAATAATAATAATAATAATAATAATAATAATAATAATAATAATAATAATAATAATAATAATAATAATAATAATAATAATAATAATAATAATAATAATAATAATAATAATAATAATAATAATAATAATAATAATAATAATAATAATAATAATAATAATAATAATAATAATAATAATAATAATAATAATAATAATAATAATAATAATAACAACTAACTACATGTTGTAATTTGATAATTAAACATTCAAATAATGTACATGCATCTTTCAAAAATTCTTACCAACTCTGGGTGACTTTCAAGTACAAGAGAGTAGTTATGTATTAATTCAAATCATCTACTAGCTATATTAGGAGGATGATTTGATTGGCCATACGTCATTCCAAGGACATATTTATAGATGCTTGGTTTTGTTGATTTTGAATATCTTTAGTTTTTTTTTCATCTGTAAAAACATTTTTTTGCGATAGTATTTTTTCTTAAAAAATGATTACAATAATATTTATTTCTTGTTTTAAAATATAACTGATTTTAATATGCAATATTTATATTTATTATTATTATAATTTTATTTATTGAATATGACTCAACTTAATCACAAATAATAAAAATATGTTGATAATTAATAGTAATTTATTATTTAAATCAATTAAATTAATTATTTTTTAAAATAATCCGAGCACCTCATGTGTGATAATTAATCTAAACCAAAGAAAGAAATAACTAATAGATTTAAAATTATAATTTTCTTTCAATTAAAAAAATTACCTCTCTTCTTATTAAATGTTTTTATAAATATAAATTTAAAAAACATTTTCATACAAATATTTTCCCCTGTCCTTTTTACGAGTTCCTTTTCAAAAACTCAAATGCATTAATTAATTCTTTACACTTAAATGCATTATCGAACGCTTTATTTTAAGAAAAATGAAGTTTTGGTTTTACATTTCAAAATTATGTTTTTCATTCCTAAAATTCAATTTTCTTTTAACTTCCACCTATATTCTATTTTAGAATAGTGGTAGAATTTATTAATGGAAAATTTTAAATATTCATTAAAATAAAGCATAATCTTGAGATCAAATTTAAGAAAAAATTCCTAATTTGACAAAAACGAACACTTCTACTAAATCCATTTTGGAGGATCATGCTACCAAAGCTCAATCTACATCACAATCACAGATATTTGATTCTTCTAATGTTTCGATCAACATTAAGTTGGATGGATCCAACTATCCCATATGGTTCCATGTGGTCGAGACGTACATCTCAAGCAAAGATAAACTTGGATATATTGATGGAACCTTTCCTCAATCGCCGGTGACTGATCTAACAATATTTCATAAATGGCGGATTGAGAATGTCATAGTGAAAGGATGATTGATCAACTCAAAGGATCCTTCACCGGTGGAGAATTCATCAGTTTCCAAACAGCCAAAGGGGTTTGGGATGCCATTACTACGGCGTATTTTGATGGATCTGATACATCTCAGGTTTACGACTTTCAACTTAAGGTAACTTAGATGCAGTAGAATGGAGGATTGATTGAAAAATACTACAACGATTTGCAAAGGTTGTGGCGCGAGATAGACTTTCTACGTCCTAACCCCATGGGGTGCCTAAAATATATTCATAAACTCAAATCTCTATTTATGGATGGTTTGGATGACAAACTTGATAACATTCAGGGTGACATTCTTCAACTCAAGCCTTTCCCCACAGTCGAGCAAGCTTATGTGCATGTTTGAAAGGAGGACACTAGTTAGGCTATGATGGCATTTGGAGTCGAGAATATAACAAGCAATGTTGTTATGGAGACTAAAGGCTTAAATATTAGCCAATTACCATCACTGGTGATTGAGAAACATAATTCATCTTTGAAATCGAAGGGTTTGTCTAATGGAGATAAGTGCACACAATATGGAAATTCTAGACACGTACATAATCGTTGTTTCAAGTTGCATAGGTATCTAGAGTGGTGGCATGAGTTGCAAGCTAAGAAGAAAAGGGACATCACAACACTTAAGAATGGTACCGGTAAAGTGGTTGTAGTTACTATCGAGTCTCAACTTTCAAATATTCCTCCACCTCAATAAAACCAGGTACATGCGATGAAGTTCTCTGTAGTTATAATTCTCAATATGCAAGTGCATTGATTATTGACTCCAGAGCAAAAAACCATATGACCTTTGTGTTGGTGTAAGCCCTAGAGGCCAATACTTTTTGGTACTTGTATCGGATTATTCGTTTAATAATAAAAGGTATTTCTTTATTATGTTTGTCTTTCAGAATAATAAAGTCCCTAGAATAGTTAGTCTGTTTAATGAAATGTTAAGTGTGACTTAATCATGAGATCCCATTAAACATAAAGACATTATTCTTAAAATATCCGTAGTCAAGCTTTATTGCAAAGTGGGATAACATTAAAAGCATTGAGACTATTATGAAGATAGACTGATGATCACATCTCATGGATCATGGATAAAGAGTTACCAAGTCTTGACATAGGTATAAATATTAGGAGTAATATTTATACCGGATTGACCCGCTATGAGAATACTACATAGTATGTTATGCAAAGTGTCATAAGTTATTCTCATGGTGATAATGGTGTATTACCACCCTTCGACCTGAAACCACTATGGACCCTAGATGTAGAGTCGGGTGCTTTATTGCTGATCAAACATTATCCGTAACTGGATGATCATAAAGACAGTTGATGGGCACTCCACGAAGCATGCTGAGGGACATGAGTGTCCTAGATGGAATTTGCCAATCCTGCATAACAGGAGAAATGTCTAAGGGCCCAATATTGAACTGGACAAGGATGACACAGTGTATGCCTTGTGTTCAATATAGACATAGGGGCAAAAGGGTAATTGTACAAACATATATTATCACGAAAAAGGTTTTGTCAGATCACATGACATTTTCGTGACTTGGGTAGCAGTGATGTGTTGCTAGATACCGCTTACTGTTTATTATGTTAAATATATAATTTAATATAATTACCAACGTTACGAAATCCTACAGGGTCACACACATAAGGACAGTTTGATGAGAGATAGAGAAATCAAAAAGGAACACCGTAAGGTACGGTGCACTTAAGTGAAAAATAGAAATTCGGATAATATAATAATAATTATTGTTATTTTATAATGGTTATAAAATAATAATAAAATAAATATATTTATTATAATAATAGTTATTATAATAATATATAATATTATTATGGATCATGTGAATTGGGTTTTAGCCCGCAGCCCACAAGAGAGTCTATAAAAGGAACCCTTGTGATGAAGCTTTCACTTGATGCATTTTCGTTTTGATTCTCTTTTCTCACTCAAATAATTCCGTTCGTAAGCAGCTAGCACTGTGACCGGAAGTTGTTCGTGTGGACTGAGTAGAGGCGTTGCACTTCATCAACGCTTGTGATCGCTGCATCAAAGATCTGAATCGCCACAAAGAGGTAACGATTCTATCACTGACCATGCTCATTCGTAACGATTCTATCACTGATAGCTGTTAAATTTCCGTCTTTTCTGTATTTGATTCGATTAAAACACAGAATGAATTTAACAATAAACGATTAATTAAATTTGGCATCTGTTGTGTACGATTTGGATGATTGATGTTGATTATGCTTCAGAAATCGACATTAGTATGGTGAAGTTGTGCGATACATTGATCATCCATAGGTTACACAATTAGATCGATCACTTTTATATAAGATATAAGAAATTCTGATGCAAAGATAGTATATGGGATATACTGTTTTGATTTCATCCATTCAATCACATAAGGATTGTAATTCTTTTTGAAAGATCATCATTTTCATTCGCTTCGGAATCCGACGTTAGTATGGTGAAGCAATGACATGTTGATCTATCATATTGAGTTATCAATCGAGTTGTGTTTGACGGCATGAAATTGTTGCATTAGGATTAATGGCAGTACAAGTGTTGTATTGCCGCAGACTTTTCCGGTTGGGGTTGTAAATGCACAAAAGTTGTGCAGGAAACGACGTGAAATACAATGAAGTGTTCATAAAATTTGACCGGGCAGCGGAACCCCCGGCTAAGTCTGCAAAGTGTGATCAATCAGTCGAAATTTAATTTAGTTTATTTAATTATCGGAATTTTAAACTAATAATAAAAGTGTGTTTATTATTATTTATTTGTGGTGATCAGTTATGGCCTTAGTTTTTCCTTTATTATTGTTTTGGGATTTTTGAATACGGCCTGCGTGTCGTGCCTCTCTCTCAATCTCTTTATGTAACTTCTTTTCTCATCTCACTCCCTCGTATGTAAAACGAGTTTTCTTATATGTAATGTAATATTATGTTATGAAAAAAAAAGAAGGAAGTATTCAATATTAAAGGAGGATAACCTTGGAGATCATGCTTGGAGAAGCTTAGATCGTTATTAGGTTAGCTTAGGTTCTCTCATTGGCTTGAGAGAACAATTGCGTTATGGGCCATAATTGTATCTTTTTATATGTATGTTGATGCATGTAATTGTATGTTGATGCATGTGAGAGACGTTTTGCATGTGAAGCCGGTGAGATCAAACTAATAACAAATTCCCTCAAAATTAAATATTAAGTTTATGCTTTCCAATTTTAGCACTCATCAAGACTAGTATCGAGCATTGTAGGTTTCGCCTACGCGAGGTGCATGTTCTATATTAGTAAGGTGTGATGGGATAATTGTAATATCCAATTGCTAAAACAATGGGTCAAACTTAACTAAACAAATTATAATAAGATTATATATGTTTAGAAGCAAGAATTGGGAATGATTCATGTGATGGATCAGAATAAGGAGTTATTCACCCAATTGAAAATATTCGAGAGTTGTATGAGATACAATTGGAAGGAGTTCCTACCTAAATAACTTAGTTTTGTGTAATCAGCCTAACGCTGACTTAAAACAAAGTGAAACATGGATCTCGACCCACTAGAAAGTCTTCCAACGGGATTTTCCGAATCAAATGATGAGGGTCATTTGTTTTGAATAAAATAGTGGGAGCATATTTGATTAAAGGCCTAATTAAATATGTTGTTTTAATGATACTTATATTTTCATATTTCTCTTGTAGATTACCATGACAACAAACACATCGAACAATATTTTGCGATCCATCCTAGATAAGGAAAAATTGTCTGGGACAAATTTCCTGGATTGGCACCGTAATCTGAGGATTGTCCTCAAGCACGATAAGAAGCTGTATGTCTTGGAGACACCAGTTCCTGAGGAGGAACCTCCTAGTTCTGCACCAAAGGCAGAAAGAGATGCTTATAAGAAGCATTTCGATGATGCCAATGAAACCGCTTGCCTCATGCTTGCTACCATGAACTCTGAGTTGCAAAAGCAACACGAGAACATGTCTGCGTTCGATATGATCGGACATCTGAAAACGCTTTATCAAGAGCAAGCAAGAAATGAGAGGTTTCAGGTTTCAAAGTCCCTTTTTAACAGCAAGTTAGCTGAGGGAGCCCCTGTAAGTCCCCATGTACTCAAGATGATTGGGTATGTGGAGAACCTTGACAGATTAGGGTTTCCCCTTGGAAAGGAACTTGCGATTGATCTGATCTTGCAATCGTTGCCAGAGAGCTTCAGTCAGTTTGTCCTGAATTTCAATATGAATGACTTGGACAAAAGTCTTCCAGAACTGCTAGGCATGTTGAGAACTGCTGAGCAGAATATGAAGACAAAAGGGAAATCCATTCTGATGGTCAGTAATGGAAAGAAACAGAACAAGAGGCCCATCAAACAGGGTGGTAGAGGGAAAGGCAAGGAAGTTGCCAAACCCAAACCCACTCCTCCTGTTTTGAAGCCTAGTGGAGGAATAGCAAAGGAGGGCACTTGCTTCCATTGCGGTAAGACCGGACATTGGAAGAGAAATTGCCCAAAGTACCTGGAAGATAAGAATAATGGAGTAGAGACTTCAAATTCAGGTATTTTTGTTATTGAAATTAATTTATCTACTTCTGCATCATGGGTATTAGATACTGGATGCGGTTCTCACATTTGTACTAATGTGCAGGGGCTAAAAAGGAGTAGAAATTTGGCAAAAGGTGAAGTTGACCTACGAGTTGGCAATGGAGCAAAGGTTGCTGCTTTAGCTGTAGGAACTTATGTTTTAACTTTACCTAGTGGTTTAATAATTCAGTTAGAGAACTGTTATTATGTACCTGCAATTAGCAGGAATATTATTTCCGTTTCTTGTTTGGACAAGTTTGGTTTTTCATTCATAATAAGGAACAATTGTTGCTCCATTTATTTGAATGATATATTCTATGCTACTGCAAAAATGAATAATGGACTATATGTCCTTGATCTTGAAATGCCAATTTATAACATTAATACTAAAAGGTTGAAACCTAATGAGTTGAATCCAACTTACCTTTGGCACTGTCGATTAGGCCACATAAATGAGAAACGCATTTCCAAACTCCATAAAGATGGACTCTTGGACTCTTTTGATTATGAATCATATGAGACATGCAGATCTTGTTTAATTGGAAAGATGACAAAGTCCCCATTCACAGGAAAAGGTGAAAGGGCTAATGATCTTTTGGCACTCATACATACTGATGTATGTGGACCACTGAACATACCAGCCAGAGGAGGTTTTCAGTACTTCATCACTTTTACTGATGACTTCAGTAGATACGGATATGTGTATTTAATGAAACACAAATCTGAGTCCTTTGAAAAGTTCAAGGAATTCAAGAATGAAGTACAAAACCAACTAGGTAAGAATATTAAAGTTCTTCGATCAGATCGAGGCGGTGAATATTTAAGCCTAGAATTTGATGACCATCTAAAAGAGTATGGGATTCTATCCCAACTTACTCCTCCTGGAACACCACAATGGAATGGTGTATCTGAGAGAAGAAATCGAACCTTGTTAGACATGGTCCGATCCATGATGAGTCACGTCGATCTTCCAAACTCCTTTTGGGGACATGCATTATTAACAGCAGCTTACACACTTAACCGTGTTCCATCCAAAAAGGTTGATAAGACACCATATGAGATATGGAGTGGTAAGAAACCACATATGTCTTACATGAAGATTTGGGGTTGCGA